ATTAAATGGGATTAAAGGTGTAGTTAAACATCTTCACACTGATTGAGAGAGGAGTTTTGCTGGTCAGGCACACTTCAAACCAATTTGGGCAGTATGTGGCCCACCATGTAAAATTAGTTTGACATCCCGGGCTCAAAGTGAGGGGTATGGGAGCTTAAACGACTTGTTTCAGACGATGGATTAACCGAGGGTCTTCACTGAAGCCCAGTAAAAGTGAATCATGCAAAGCTACTCTAGTAGAATCCAAGAATACAAACATGAAAAGAGCATAATAGGTCCCCTTTAAAGGATTTAATCATACACAGGAAGGCTTAGATTATATGCACTGCCTAGTATTTCTGAAAATGTGAAAGTAACAGATAATCCACACACTGGTCCGTAACAAACTGCCAAATAAAAATCAAAAGAAAAAAAATGCAAATGACAATTTTAAGCATTTTTTTTTTTTAAAGAACTCAAAGCCAATCGAGCCGCTAGCACAACAGATAGGAACCGACCAAAGATTCCTGAGTCATTCAAATACTAATCAAACCTTCCTGCATTTTTCCCTCCAAAAGGGAAACACATGTTTTTGTCTCTAACCTGTATCTGAATTCAAAGGAAAAGACAAAGCACAAATATTAGTAACAAAAACACAACAAAGGCTGACCCACATATGCCAGTGTACTATCTGCTCTGATATACCCGCCACAAACACAGGGAGAATTCCCTTGTACAAAGACAAATCCCTCAAAGACTACACTACCCATCTCTCCTTGCAGCCCGATCGGGTGTGGAAGAGTGCCGAGGCCAGATCGATCTTTATTAGTGCTAAACTACAAGTCGTGTACTTTCCTTTTCTGCATGTCAGCTTAACTAGCGAAGATGGATTGTAGTGCAAAACATTACAATTTAGACACATTTGAAACAAGCAGCCATTTTAATACTATTTAAGGCGAAGCAATATAAACTGATATGATATCACCACCACACAACCCCTGCTGCTGGCCACAACCACCTGCACCATGTCCAGTCATTACAGAAACACACTATATTTACACCGTGTGCTTTTGTTTACCTTGAGCCCCTTTGAAACCATACATATTAACGAGCACACAAAAGTACACTAAAACTATGTACCTGCAGCCTCAAGAGTTTAAACTAAGCAGGGAAGCCGTGAGATGTTGTCATCCCTTTTCTGTGAGCTAGTAAATGCAGAGATAACAGACCCAACTCAGACAATGTTAAACTTGGCGTGATGATAAAGGACTACCGGAAGCAAACAAGTTGTACGGCCCTCAGTAATCGCCCTCCTCAAAAACAAAGCAAAAAGGAAAAAAAAAAAAGTGCAACTGCTACCAGAGGACTCTACCTGGAAGGCACCTGCGGGGCACAACTAGCCTAACCATCTGAGCAATGAGGTAGTCTGGGTCAAGTGTTGACAAAAAGGTGGAAGGAAGTGGGTGATTCATCAGGCCTAAGTGTTAGTGTGAAGCAGGTCATAGTGTACAGTTACAAAACAGGAGAATAATCAAAGGAAGATAACACTGCTTGTTTAAAGAGTCCATGCATTTCAGCAGTCACTGATTCCAAAGTGCTGCTGTGTGCTGCCCCCCAGTGGCCAGATTGGTACTCTGCATGTGTGAGCTGTGTGTGTGTGTATGTTTGTGTGTGTGCGCGCATAGGTAGGGTGGGGGACCACTCCGACTCTCAGCAACAGCGCATGCGAGGAGGGGGCAACTCCGGTGGCACTTCCGGTTCAGGCTGCAGAGACAGGACACTGTTGGAAAGCTCCTTGTTGGGAACTTCCAGAGGCATCTGTTGGATCACAGACAAAGTGACATCAGCAGCCGCCAAACAGAGTGTGACAAGCAACACCATCGACAGGTAGATTAAAACAAACAAACAAAAGACTAAAGTAATAAAACAATACGATGGAAAAGAATCAGACTCCTTTGACAATTTTCCTGCGAGTGTATTAGGCAAGTTTTTAAACAGCTCTTCCATCATCTAAGTAAGCAAAAGCGACAAGACAAATGTCAATTCAAATTTAATAGGCCACTAAGTGAACGGTGCGTTTACACAAGTCATTCCCACACATGTCCTGCAGCACCTTGCTTTAATGAACACTGAACAGCTGCAAACACAGACAAGTGATCACTCATGTTACAGTTCTCTGAAGTAGAGGTAATATGCAAATGCATATTTGGTGCTTTGCAGCATCTCTGCAGCAGAGTACATGTAGTGTGTTACAAAAAAACAAAACAAAAAAACTGGCAGACATGCAGATGTGTGCAGAGCCTGGATCTGGTTTTGTAATTTGGACCTGAGTGGACTCCCACATATGTACATAAGTGGAAAATATCACACCCACATAAAAATGAGAACACACATATCAAGCGCAGTCAGTCTTCAACGTTCCCGTATCCCAATACAAAGTCCACATGATGCCCAGTTGAATCAATAATGAGAACAGCACAGATAATAAACCGGTGGTTTGGAGTGGACGTCACGTGTAATGACTCCTGCACTTTCTACCCAGGCAGCATCCTCTCCTGAACCTCAAAGAATACTTCCAGCAGAGAGATCGCATTTGAAGCAAATCATCTCCTGCTGTGTGCTACGATTGAAAAAGGGCACCTTTGCAAACATTAAGACATGAAGGCATGATTTTATGGACACTATCTGGAGTTCATGTGTGAGAACAGTCGGTTTGGTTCAGATCAAACAAATTTCGGACGTGTTCCATGCACTTTGGTTCCAAGCACATTCCGGTGTAGCCTTTTTGGTGTATTAATGCACAACTGAGAAAGCAGATATAATATTAGTATGAATGGAAGAGCTGAAAAACGATAAAATCAATGTGATGATGTCAACTGTCAAGATAGTCATCTGTATCTGAAGACATGAAATATGTTTAATGAGTTAATGTAAATCACTTAGAATCAAAACCATCAAAATATATGTATCATTTTTACACTACTTGACTCAGCTGATAAATTACTTCTGTATGATAGAAAAGAAATAAGTATTTCAGCAGTGAATGTCCTGCTATCAGTCACTAGAATCTGAGCACCTCTACATGTGTTTGGTTGCGCTATACGATGACATCACCAAAAACGTATAGTAAATGTTTTATGTGTTGATCTACATGACTTCACGTTTACCCGTCTACTTTCATTCATAAAAACTCAAAGTGAACCAAAATAAACCAAACAATGGATTCATTGTGTAAAATGCATTTCAGGCACACTTAACCTCACCTTGCTAAGAATGTCGTCCACAAGCTTCAGGAAGATTTCATCCACATTAAAATTATCCTTCGCACTAGCTTCGCAGAAGCGCATTCCACTTATTCGAGAGGCAAACTATAAAACAAGTGAAACAAAACGAGCTCGGGGTTAGAGTCGGCATGGAAACCCAAACTCAATCCTCAGGAGCACAAATTAAACTGAAGAAAGCTCCAAACACTCTTCAAGTGCACAGTTGATTCACTGGCATATTATTAACTCAGTTTTTAGTATGAAGTACATACCTGTCAAACTATTTGCATTACTGATTTTTTGTTTTTGTTTTTTTTTGCTGTCAAATTATCTACTGTTTGGCCTGTTTTATCTAATCTTAGATGTTTAGATTATTCAGATTTGTAAAATACTGGTGGCTGCCAGTACAACCACTTAGCGTCCTGGTAGTTCCACCAATGGTATCAATTTCAAAATATTATGTCATCTTTTTCTCAAGTTATTGGACTCACAAATTTGTGTGTCCACCCCGCCTGCCCAGCTGGACAATGGCAGTAACCCCATTAACCTTTTGCGGCTGACGGGTAAAACCTGAAGGTGTGGTGCAGTAATAAGACGGTGAAGGACTTTGCTGTGAACCCACCCTCTCTCCTTGTTGCCTGGAGATGATGCGATCAGTCTCACAGTCCAGCTTGTTCCCGACCAGCAGAAGCTCTGCTTCCTCTGAGGCGTACTGATGGAAAACAGACCAGAGCAGACACAAGTCAGGAAATCACTGGCCTACCGTCTCACAAAAGTCAAATCAGATTACTGCAGTTAAATCTTCATCATATCATATCACAGACAGGAAAATCTACAGTAAAAAGACACATATTCCCACACATGGATATTCAAATACTTATAGTATTATTCAGCACAAATCATTTAAACTGAGGGGCAACACCAAGGCCTAGTTTTTGATCAGTCCCAGTTGGAATTGGTCCCCTTTATAGAAAAAAGCAGAACTGTAGGATAAATATCATGGAATAAATAGATAAACTAAATTCATGTTTCATTTTATAAGAGAAAAGGGAGGAGTTGTAATAAAAAGAAAGAAAAACATAATACACACTCCCTGACACGCTGGACTTTAGTTTACCTTGTCAATCATTTTCATCCACTTAGGAAGGTCCTCAAAGGTCTCCTGTTTTGTGATATCATACACAAGCACAATTCCCTTGGCTCCTCTGTAGTATGCTGATGTGATGCTGTTGAACCTCTCCTGGCCTGCGGTGTCCCTGAAAGAGATCACACATTATAAAAACTCGATCATGTGAGAACAGATTAACCCATAGTTTTTTGATTGTGTTTTCCATTAATTAAATTTGATTAATAGGTAACTGGTGTTTAAAGACAATACATAAAAGTGTATGAACATGTCATTTCTGTGGTAATTTAGCAGAAATGTAACATCATAAATTAGTGTAAAAATTTGTCATTTATTGAGATAGTGTTTTAAAACCAATAGTATGTCTACTGAATCACTGTCTAAAGCTTCACATTGTCATCTATTAAACTAAACAGAAAAACACACCACTGAAGAGTTTTGTTCCAAAATGTCACTTTTAGACTTTGAAAGAAGATGAGATAAAGTCAATATTAGCAATATAAGCTATTACGGGTTATTAAATACACATGCACTTTATAATGACTGTGTTGCATTTTCGGAAGGCAACTCTTCAGTTTCATATTTAATTTGAAATATGACCACACTCGGCTGATCATCCGAGTCTGGACTGGCAGCATGACAAGCAGTTTGAGCCACACTCACAGTGCAGTGTTACTGTACCTCCAGCCAGATAGTCTCTCCCTTTCCCCCTGTGAGTCACAGTCAGGCTTATGAGCAGAAGAGCAGACAGAGACAGCAGCACAATGGCAGGGTTAGGTAAGGTTGGGCGCGGCAGTGTTGGAGCTTGATGTGAGCAGTGCAACATGAGAAACATACACACAGTGATACTCCTCGTCTGACAGGTGGAGGACAGGCAGAGGTGTGAAGGGAGGATGTGCTGCGGTGATGGTGGATGGAAGCAAGACAGATATGTATGGAAATAAGAGATAGCGCTCCCACATTTTAACCAAGCATCGTCACACACTTGCATGTAATAAGTCTGTAGCTGAAGCCGCTCTTTAGTTGTTGGACACCAAATGTTTTCAAAATGAAATCAGAGCCTAACTGAGGTCACGAGACGGCAACAGGATAACAGTATCAAATAACATCTTGTCACTAATTGACTGAGATATGAGACAACATGAGACTGATTTAAGATTTCACTGCATACATCTGTGATTTCTGCAAAGAGCACATTACATTTAGCCATTTAGTGCGAGTATTAAGCTGCAACAGCACAGTACGTAATGTTTGTAAAGTCACTGTATGGTTAAAGCTAATTACTCAATGACACTAAACACAGTCTAATATGTACCATTAACTGACTGATAATGCTATTACTAATTATTTTATTAACAAACAGGGATGTAACAAACCTCCAAATCTATAGTTTTGGTTCATGCTTCAGTTTTCCTTTAGAGCGGATAAACAACAAAAAGCTGGAATAACCACCAACCTCAGAACTCCACCACGAAGCAGGATTTGGTGCTTAAGTGACTTCAGGCTTAACCCTGGGTTTCCAGTTTTACATCGCCATGGTAACTAATACACGTACGCACATGTAACGTGCGCCATAGTAGATCACGTCCAAGACAAAAGGTCAGCATAAAACCTAGCGACCAAGCAATTGGCTGGAAAAGCCCTTGCACCTCAGTGTGAGATACTAAGAGGATCTACAGTTTTTATTCAGAATACACAGATCCTTACAGACACTTTTAGTCCTCGCTCGTTTGCTTGCTTCCATTTACCTTTATTATAAGCCTGAAGCCTTGTAATATTAACTTTACATGCAATTTGCATTTTCCCCTAATATAACTTAGTCTTCTGTTTTTTTTTTTAAAATACATTGGAATATAGTATTACTGTCATTCTCTGGGTTGGCCATATGAAGCCAAATTTGTTTTTTCCTTGTGAATACAGTCAGTTTGACTGGAAAACCCAGAGCTGACTTGTCAAGTTGATAACAACCCTGGTGGATTGCCTGTGTTAGGGTACGATACAATTTTGCAGGCATTTGCATTACGTGAGGAAAATAAAGTCTTCTGCTACAGTAAGCCCAACTATTAGAAAAACCTAATGAAGTGTAGTCTGCATTACATTTCTTATATTTATTAGTACCAGGATCTGTGGATATAACTATTTCAATCTGGGCATGTCACCAAGGACCTTCATCAGAAAATATTTTGAACACATTAGGTCATGCTGTCCTTACTAACCACAAAGAGCTGCTGGTGGACTGGCCAAGGTGAGACCTCACTGATAATAAAGTACACTCATTGCAACCCACTGATGGGGTCTGGATAGAATCACTACTATGCTAAGAATAGCATTTGCTCTGTTTTGGTTTTACCATTTTAACCACACAACTATTATAACATTTTAATCAGGAGGAGGACGGGGTACTAAGGTTCTAAGAATTTTTTCATCCCCCATGTGTTTATAGGCCACTAGTGCATGTCATTAACTATTGTGCATGCTCTTTCTTTGCTTTCCTTTTTTTTTTTTGCCTTCTTTTACCCTTTACCCCTAGATTGGTGATAGTAGATGACCCTGAGCTCCTGTTAAAAGGGAGGTTTTTTCCCTCCCACCATCAACAAGTGCTTGGTTAATAGGGGATCATTTAAAAGATAGTCTCACTACCTTACTATATAACACTGAAACAACTGTGGTTCTTAGTTGGTGCTACATAAATAAAACCGAAATAAATTGAGAAAAGAAGATTGTCGATACTGGAAAATACTTTATTTGTTTCTGTTCATGGATTTCCAACCTGTCCAATGATATGATAGCTGGTATAGGCTCTAACCCTCGAAACAGGATCAGTTAAAACAGGGATGCATGGCTGGTTGTTTTGTGGGGGAGTGCAGTAACAGATCATGCAGGAGCTTTGACAAATGACACCCACTCAGTGTGACTTCACAAGACAATTTCCTGCTTTATTCTCACATGGTCTCTCAGTTCTCCTAGGTCAGATCTGACAGATTCAGACACGAATCCACCGAGTCTTGACTACATAATTTCACAGCTCATAGGTACAACCTTTAGGAAAGTAGAACCATTTATGTTTTTAGATAGCCGAGTTAGGTCAAATGCATTCACACAAATCTAGTAGTAACAGCTCAGTTGTTAGGCGAAAAGAGCACACCAGCACCTGCAGATACTCAAGATATCAGTAAAGAAATAGTGACGAGATATTCCTAGTAACAACAGCAGTACCTGATATAAACAAGCAATCTGAAACCTCAGACAACATGGTGACTAATCACGATGTGGTTTGCATGATGACACTGGGAATCTGTACAAAAACATGTTGACATGGAGAAACATGCAAGAAACACAGCTGAAATACACCCAGTAAGCCAAACAGCAGCTTTTGTTAGTGAAGCCTGCATGCTGATAGGACAGACAGAGAGACAGAGGACATGCAACAGGCAGGAAAGTAAAGGAACTGCTCACTTACCATATCTGTAGTCTAATCTTCTTCCCTCTCAGCTCAACCGTCTTGATTTTGAAGTCAACTCCTATGAGGGAACCAAAACATGTGAACAAAGGCAAATATAAGCAATTCCTTTGTTGCTTTGCTAAACGGCTAACACGGTATCCGGTTAAGTTCAAGACTTTGACCACAAGTTCTAGTGTTAGTAGATTTAATAGATGTGGAGCACTCACTGAGCCATCCACAAAACAATACAAGCCACACTGCATCACCCAGCTCGTCTAAGGCAACTTTTTCAGACAGGCTGGGAGACTGTAAAACTATTCCCTCTGTGGTACCTAATCAAAGAAGCATGTTATTAGTGACACATCTCACACAACTTATGAGCTGTGTCGGGGAATGACAGGGCACAAAATGGAGCTCTGCTATAGCAGCTGCTTCTTTTAGACTATTTTGGGACTGGACACTATGGCTGGCTGCCGGACTGGTCATAGGACTGTTTACCCAGCTGAATGTATAAACAGATCTCATGTGTATTTTTAATCTGCAAACATGACTGGCAATTTGTCACAAGGCAATCTCGTGTTTAGTAAGTAAACATACCAGGGGTCAAATAATCAAATAATGAAAGAATGTGTTTTTATGTAGAAATATGCAACATGTTAGTTCTCTGTGTAGAGATATATCAGTAAAATCAAGGTGGTATTGGATAAGACTACTTCCTGGTTAACATAACCAAAACAGGGTTACTAGAAGTAAACAGTAATTCAGACCCATAATACCTATAATATAATATTCTGCAAATATTATCAGAACAGTAATAAAGTACAATTATGCATTTGTATTTAATTAATAAAAACGCTGTCCTTTAGCAGAAGTCTAAAATCTCTACAATGCAAACGTTAAAAAAAGCTTAAGGAAGCCTAGTTCATGTGATTGAAGTCAAAGGAAATGCTATTGTTACTTCAGTCACCATAGTCAACTGGCTAAGATACTGTTATCAACATACCTAGCAGGCTACAGCTAGCATTAGAAATAAAGTTTAGTCGCTATGCAAGTGAACTTGGAGGATTTATGGTCACTGGGCGCACCCCACAGTAGTTTAAGCTTTTCTCCTCGAGTATTTAGCCAGAGCCCTTCTACATGTTGTAGCTGATTAAATGAAAAGTAGTCAAAAAAACGAAATATTTTAATGCCTTCTGTCCTCACCTACGGTTGACTTGCAAGCTTCGCAGAAAGTGTCGTCGGTAAATCTTTCCATGAGACTTGTTTTACCAACACCACGAGAGCCAATAATGATAATCTGAAGTTTGAAATCAGCGGGTCTGGGAGGCATCTTCCTGCGGCGTGACTGAGCCCCCAGAGCGGGGGACGAGTTCGCGGAGCCCCCGCCGCCACCGCCGGCGGCCCTCCGTGGAATATCATACCTCGGATCCATCAGTAATCCCACATTTGTGACTATAAGACGAACAGACAAATAACCCTAACCGGTTACAGAAACAACACAAGCCGATATCTCCAACTTTCTTTTGTCTCTGATGAAGTTTGCGAAAGTTTGTCAGTCGCCGACAGTTGTTGTTGTTCAGCCATTAGAGACCGGGGCCATCGTGATGTCATTTCCGCTTCCGGTGGCTATGATTTCTATTTTTATAAATTTTATAAAATTATAAACAGAGACCGTTTAATCACTTGTAATCAGACTGTATTACTTTTACATGTTATTTTGATTTATTAAACGTTTCATTAAAAAGGCATCAAATATTAGGCCTGCATGTAGAAAGACATCCTTTTATAATTGACATTATAAGAGGATGTCTTTCTACATGCAGGCCTAATATTTGGTGCCTTTTTAATGAAACGTTTAATTATATCAATTATATAGTTATATCAATTATAAGATTTCAGTGCATAATCTGGTCCTTATTAGGTCTTACAATTGGGTAAATACAGCCTCAGAAGAATTACAAAACATGACATATTATACCATGTAATTATTTATTTAACAAAAATTAGTCAAAATGTAGAGGTTACATGGTAAAAATAAGTACACCCTCCCTTCTCCCAAAAGAATTAAGAGGGTAAGTAGAGGTCAGATCCTGAGAATTAAATGTCCTTGATTATTTAATCACCAGCAACTTCAAGGATTTCTATACAAGCAGACGTTTTGGCAGTTTGCTAGTCTGGAGCATTCGGGTGTGTGTTAACACAATGCCAAGAAGGAAATACATCAACACTGATCTTACAGAAACAATTGTTGCTTCCCATCAGTCTTGAAAAAGTTCTAAGTCCATATGAATTTCACTGAATTCCATCATTCTACACTGAGAAAGATTATTAACAAGTGGAAAACACTGATATCAGTTGTCAGTTTGTATCCAGAGTGGATGTCTAAGCAAATTAAGCACAAGCTCAGGGACTCTGCAAAAAAAGAAAAAACAAGAGCTACAAATTTCACAGACCTCAGTAAGCATGTTAAATGTTAAAAGTTCATGACAGTGCAATTAGAAACAGAGTGAACCAGTATGACTTGTTTGGAAAGTTTGCTAGGAAAAAGCATCTTTTCTCTAAAAGGAAGACAGCACGGCATTGGTTTGGAAAACTGCCTCAGAATAAACCACCAGACTTCTTGTGGCATGTCTGGCAGAACCAAACACAGCATATCAGCACAAACACCTCATACCAAATGTTAGCACGGCTGCAGATTGGGCTTGTTTCATAACCACAGGATCTGGACTCCTTGCCTTCATTGAGTTGATTATGAACACTGTATACCAAAATTTTCTGAAGTCAATTGTGAAGCCATCTGTCTGACTGAAATTGGTCATACAACTGGAGAGTGAGCCCAACATATAACACAATGGCTGACAAAAGAAAATAATAAAGGTGTTGCAATGTCACAGTCAAAGTCAGGAATTCAATCTATCACAGTTTTCCAATGAGACCTTAAGAGAGCTGTGAATAAAATGATGCTCGCAAACCTTTATTATTGCTTCAAACTATTGCTATAAAAGGTGCTACTGAATCATGGGGTGCATTCAGTTTTTCACACACAGTTTCTACGTTTACTTAAATAATGGTACAATGTAATACATCATGTTTTGTTGTTCAATTCAAGCTGTATTAATTTAAATTTAAGACCTACGAATGACTAATTCCTTTTTTGCAATAACCTGAGATGTAAAACCTTAGAAAAGGGGGCGGATATACTTTCTTTTCACCATGAAAAAAAAAAGTTTTCTCTTTGTATCACAACTGAGATTATTGATCCTTTTAAAGCCCCTTTAGGTAAATTTGTGATATGTACAAGTTTTATTTGACTTGAGGTTGCAGTCCAACAAACAGGACTGTGAATATCCAATTTAAGTGTGGAGAATCAATGCAAGTTGTCCTGTTTTCTCAGAGTGATATAAAACAGGAATTCTGTTCAAGTATATTTCATTTAATGTTTGGCAAGGAAAAAAAACGTAAAGACCACAAGGGAAAGTGCAGTTTGACAAAGAGAACAAAAGAGCACTGTCCTATAAAGTTTGACGTAGTTCTCATAAGCATGGCATCTGGTACTTTGCCAATGGTATTAACATGTATGGGTTCCATACATTCACTCCACACACATCTGGAAAATGTTAAAGAGGCCCACTATGTCAAGTTGCTATAGCCTCCTGCGCCTTCACTTGTCCTCAACTACGAAAAAATAACAAAAAAAAGTACAGCAGCAGTATGTGATTGGAAATTTCTGAATGAAAACAAGAGACTTAAATAAATACACTGTGAACTGAAGATAATCAATGGGCCCACACCCTGACTTAACAGTGCCTATTCGCTCCCTGATGGAAGTTAAAGAATTATCTGTGGATGGTTCTTTTGTTGTGCCTGCAACCTTACCAAACACTGGTAGTGTCATAGTGTTCTGTTAGACCTGTTAGTCATGGAGGGTTAAGTTAAGGCCCTTTTAATCCTGCATTAATTTAGCACTCTATTTTTCTTTATATTTGCAAAACATATTATCAACAAACATTAGACTGAAGCTTTGTGAAACTCCTGGAATTTGAAACCACACTGCAGACTCCCACGTCACCAGGCTTTCTTGTGATTGCTTCCAAATTCATAATCCAGACTTTGAGCAAAGGCTATTGTTGTTTTAAACTGATCTTATACTTATAAATGACTTGGTTTTAAAGCCAGGGCCTGAAAATTACATTCACACACAAAATCCACTGTGGTGGTGAACAGAGGGGATATTGCACCCCCAAAAATGTGCTATTGTGGATCTGATTGTATAGTTTTTCATTTAAAAAACAAAAAGCAAATTTTCTAGCTGCATTACAGTACTAGAGCCAGATTCTCGCATTCCCTGTTGTTTATGTTTTTTGGTCCAATGCGGCATCCGTAACCTGCGACAGCTGGTGACGTTGCGGCCGAGGAGGAGTTCCTGGTAATCCAAACATCGACGAAGCGACATCCATAGTCGTTTATCAATAACATATTCCTCATAACCGAGTTGATCGATCAACATAATGGCTGCTCAGAAGATAAATGAAGCGCACGAGCACATAGCTAAAGCGGAGAAATGGTGAGCCAGGACAAAAACGATTATTTCCTGCTCTGTAGTTTTACTACTCACGTTAGCTAGCTGTAAGGCCACTGTGTATTTTCTGTTGAAAGGTTATGCGACATAAAGTGACTTTATGGTTATTTATCCATCGAATTATAGTTGTATTATTTGTTTATTATTTGTTCCTCGTGGTGTGTTTACAGCTTAAAAACGAGTCTGACAAAGTGGAAGCCTGACTTTGACAGTGCTGCATCAGAATACGCCAAAGCAGGTAAAACACGAAACGACACTATTGCTTAAAACTGTAGTGTTTTTTTTTTTTTATCATTATATTAAAAATATATAATTTTACAGTGAACTAACCTCTGTGCTTTGTTTCTAGCTGTGTGCTTCAAGAATGCCAAGCAGTATGAACAAGCAAAGGATGCTTATCTGAAGGAAGCTGAGTACCACACAGAAAACAAAACGTATCCTTTCCTGATCAAAGGAAATCGCTAGCCACTTTGTTAGCGGCTCTTTAAAGCAAACCTCTAATTAGCCAATCAGACAACAGAAACACAAAGCGTGCAGGCAGTGTAGGGTGTACCCGTTTTTAACCCTGCACCCTGGATCCTTTTATAGCTGGGTCCAGGGTACCTGCTTATCGCAGATTTAACAATGTACCATAGTTATTCTCATTAGGGGTGTAACAACTCTGGAACCAAGACCAGAAAAACTCTTATATTATATTGTGTAGAAATATTTAAATGTCATCAGTTTATAATGAAAGAATTAAGTGACAAGATTTGTGTCTAACTAATTATTTGTATTTTGTTATTCAACCTCTTAAGGAAAACTAAGATTTGAGCTAAAACCAAGCCCTCAAACCCTGGTAAAACAAATCTGGCTTCGAAGAATTGTTACACCCCTGATTCTGATGGGTTTTCATTTCATGAGCGCTTTATACGTTGGCATGGATTCATTTTGCCTTGTGTCAAAAATCGAAGGATGTCTTAATCCAACAGAGAGTGTCAGGGGTTTAACATTTTATTAATGGAGAATGTAATCTGATTTATTTTAAGCCATATATTTGTTAGCATGACACAGTTTCACTCTTGTTTGGCTGTTTCCTTAGCTTGTCCTTCAGGCTTTTTCATGCTGCAAAGTAAGTATCATGCTTAATAACCTGTAATATTGAAGTGGCTGCAAACTTGGAAACACCTGTTTGATTCAAACTCTTATTTCCTCAGGGCTATTGAACAGGCTGGTATGATGATGAAGGTGAGTGCAGCCACTCTAAAACCACACAGTGAAGTCATAATAAAGCAGATGGAGACAATGATTCAGTAGCACAATTGTAACTCTGCTGTGTTTGCACTGCATCAGGAACAAAAGAAAATGCCAGAGGCCATCCAGTACATAGAGAAAGCCTGCATGATGTACATGGAGAACGGGACACCGGACACTGCTGCCATGGCTCTGGACCGGGCTGGAAAGTAAAAATAATACCTTAATTTACTCTGCTGATCTATGATACATCTATGATATTTTTTTCATTGGAATGGAGATATGAATGGATTTGATAAACACCTTTCAGAAGTCTGCCTGATAACTGATTCATGAGAAAGTTCATCTTATTTATATGCACCATACATTCACTGCCAAAGTACAAGTGTTTTAGCTATTGGATGAATAGGTTTGTTGGGTTCTTTAGTAATTAAAAAGATGCAATGAGAATATAATTAAGAACAGGATAATTGTAGCATTATATTTATGCCCACAGCTAACTAAAAGCTAAATTTTCACTGTGATAAAGTGCTGCAGAAATTTAAGGAAACTCTTAATTCTAATTCTGTAGTGCAGCCGTTCCCAGACTTAAGACAGAGCCTTACCATTTTAAAATATGAATGTTTTCTATGGATCTCCCAAACCTTTAAACACACTATCACATCACACAAGGCTAACACAAAAATTTAAAGGTTTTTTTTGTGTGTTTTAAATTATTAATTTGAGCTTCTGCATTAGCAGCTTTATTTCTGGCACCATCTTCATGTTAGTTTTTTCTACTATTG